CTCTGCGCTGGCTGTTGTCGCCCTGTTGATGACGTCAGCGACGCGGTTTAATCTGGCGCGGTTTAGTCGAGCGTGGTTTTGACAGGTCACGAAAATAAAGCATATCTTAGAACTTTATGCAAGTTCAACTATTTTTATGATTCTTATAGTCAGTCGTTAACAATCTTTATTCAGCAAATCTAAATACCATAGAACACAATCATTTTAGAAGTCATACATAGGAATACACTAAGACATCAAAATCATGATGTGTTTATGTAAGCAATGCAGTTTTCTACTTCAATCACAAATGACTGCCATTCCATGCAAATAACTTTAATTCAATCATTGGTGTCTTTAGAAAGATTTATTTCTAGTATACACAATCTTGTATATGAGGATAAATGTGGAACCATTATTAACCAGTATAAACAGTACTATGCTAGGTGAACTGATTATCTGAATTTGTATAAGATATGGTAGATTCCTAATAGAAATACTACTGTGTGATTAACAGTTTGCTCCACCTCTGGGAACTGCCAGCACTAAGACATCAGTAAAACTTTCTACTTCCCCTAAGACTATTTGGCACACATTAAGTGACAGTTTTCATTTACAGCTAAAAGTGTCAACTTTATATTCTACAACACTGATCTTAATAGACCTTGTATACTTACTACTTAATACTTTTTAAATTATTTTTAAAAATAATTTTTAAATTAAAAGTAAGATTGTCACTATTACAGAGTAAAATCTTCAATTTGTATCATATATGATATTGTCTTAATCCCTTCTACATTTCAGCTTTCAGTAATTGAGGATATTTACCTTTGAAGAAGATAGCTATCATGGGACATCATTTGACATGAACATTGCTTATCTGTGGTCTGTCAGTTAATAGGTTTCAGATTATTTATACTTGACAATGTTTAACTTATTTTTTCTAGTATTTTGAATCAAATCACATGTTATTCAACAGATTTCAAATTATGGTACAATATGCTACAATTAACATGTTTGATACTTTTTTATCCCTGTCTTTCTTGTCAAAACTTCCTCTTAATGACAAGATGATGATCTTTTCCACTAACTTAGTTGTTCCATTAAGCCAGTGAAAAAAGGCGATTTATTTTGCTACAAATAACCAAACACCAGCTTGAGCCATTGAGTCAAAATCTGAATTAAGAAGAACAAAGTCCATACCCTTTGGCTACCTGTATATGCAAGCTTGTGGATAGGCTTTCATTCAATTCCTCTCACTCCCAGCTCCCAGTGCATAAAATAAGAACTAAATATTATCCAATTACTCTCATAAAATTTGCCCTTTGTATTGTTCACTTTCCTACTCAAATTCTATATCATTGGCAGTAGGAAGGTTGGTGGAGGGGGAAAAAACTTGATGTCATACCAAGTCTTTCATTTCTGCACATTGCATGAAAAAAGTAAAATATAAAACACGTAAAACATGAAAACAGCTATTTTCAGCAAAATTTAATTTTGAGTTTTCCAACTCCAGATGTGCTTTACTTTAATTTCCCAAACTTCCAACCGGTATAGGTATCATAGGACATTATTAAACAGGACACAAGTTGGAAAAGGCTGATCTATCTTAGCTCTCTGTTTTAAAAATCTGACATATCACACATAAGCAGGAAAATACATTTCCCATAATTAGACCATCATTCATGAAACATCAAATAGGTATTGAAATTTACTGATGATAATAATACAGAAGACTACCATAGTTGGTATTGGTCAAATTGGCACAAATATACACTAAGACTTAATTCAGGAAGTAATTTTATTCAGTGAGCAAGGCACCAGCATGAAACAATTATCAGATTTGTTTACTGCAAGTTAATTATACAGTTGCTGAAGTACAAGTTCCAGCTTGTTAATCTTTTTAAAAGAGAATGTGAGAGAGTGCATAATGCAAAAGTACTCAAGTAGTCATTTGTATGTAGATTAAATCTAAATCTAAATCTCACTCAAACTTTGTAGAAATCCTATAGTCAAAAAGGCTGGTTTATGACTTTCTAAGTTTTAACACTTTTGAATGGCAGGGGCCTATTTTTATATAAAAAGAAAGTGTCAGCCCTTACCACATGGCTGTTAATTATTCACCATGGTTATTGTGAGTTAATACATATTAATCAGGGAGATAAATTATTATTTATATAATGCTATTTTCAAAGATGTTATCCTCTTCTTTCAGTATAAGACAGATAGTTAAGTCAAATGGAATGATAAATGATCATATTGGCACTAAAGATAGTGTCTACCAGTAAAATAGATTTATGACAGAAAAATGTGAAGTATTTGAAAGAAGTTAACTCCTTCAACAAAGAATTGCTTTTTTGGTCTATTGGTGTTCCGCAAATTGAAGCAGGGTCTTTTATGGGAGACTGGTGAAAAAACATAAGATGGCAGCCATGACTAAGAACTTGAAGTTCCATCCTTATTTGTATGTCTCACATGGATATTACTTATTAATGATACTGTATAGGCAGAAAGAATGGCCTTAAGGAACAACCAGATAAAAGAGGACCTGGTGAAAGAGAACGAATTAAGAATGTAAATGTTTCAGATACAACCCTCTCTCATTGTCATAAGGATAAAGGGATGGGGAGCACATTTCCACTTGGATGATTCTTTTATTGCAAAATTGCAATAAAAAGTAGTACAGTATTGACCTACATGGCATTGGATTCTTAGTCTGAT